GCTGATGGTGTACAAATCCATGGTGCTGTCCGTTCTTCTATACGGCAGTGAAACGTGGACGATGTACCGTCGGGATGTGCGATATCTCGAGCGGTTCCATCAGCAGGGTTTGCGACGCATTTTACGCATCACTTGGGGAGAGAGAGTTGCTGACACGGAAGTGTTACGTTGAATTGGAATGTATGCAGTGCACTGCATACTTTTACTAATACACATTGAGGTGGCTCGGTCATGTGTGGAGTATGGATTCGACTATGATACCGAAACAACTATGATCTGGTCAGCTGAGTATTGGGAAGCGGCATGTGGGGAACCAAAGTTACGTTACCAGGACATGATCAAAGTGAGCCTCACACGTTCTAATCTTGATTGCAGGTCATGGGAATCGAAGGTGGTTGATCGGCGTGCATGGCTCGATCTGATCACGAAGGCAGTTGCCGAAGTGCGGGAGAAAGACCTCATGCATGCAGGGAAGAAGTGGCAAGTGCAGAAGCGACAAGTATCGATGGGTTGTACTCCATCGACGTCGAGCGCATGGTGCTGTAGCACATGCGGTCGCGTGTGCATGAGTCAGGCAGGCCTAGTGAGCCATGAGCGAGGACACTCGGGTCCGCTACCGAATAGACGACGGGTGCTGCAGACAACGTAGGCAGAGCAGGCACAGCGTTTGTAGGTACGCTGCATTCGATTTACTAACCGCGTGCTTGCATGCGAAGTCCCCTTATTTCAGGTGGTGGGTTTTCAATTTTGTCCTATTGCTTTTCTTTCTCATATAAATGTCTACCTGTACTCTCTTCTATGAACTTGCACACGTTGCTGCAGCTAATTGTGGTTAATTTCGATAACATTTTCGCGTTTGTGGCAGTTTAAAAAAAATATTTTCTGACCTCTTGAACTTATCGCGGATTCGTTTTGTAATCATTTTTATACGCTCATTTAGTGAAGTTATGTCTCCGTATCTGTATGCATTATCCGATTTATTTTATTTGTTATCTTTCTCTCAAGTGATTGGCTGTTGCTTGATATCCCGGGTGTGGCTGCGCTTGATGTGCATGTTGACAAGGTGCCTACCTGTCTATTACCCACTACCTCGTCCGTACTGGCTCCAGGAGGCAGTTGGTCGTTGCTGGAGGGGACGGGGTGCACGGACCTTGTGACCGTGCTAGGCTCAAAGAGCGGTTCCATGCGCTCAGTGTGGAGCGGACTATGGTCCAGCCACCGCCTTGTGTGCGCTTGATTCCCCCAATACAGCGTGCTCGTGTTTACCTGTGATGGAGTGTGGGCCGGCTCTGTTGATGAAATGTGGCTGCCATCCACATGCCTCCCGATCTTATTCCTTCGGGTTTACACTGGATATGGCGTGTGTGGTTGGAGCTGTGGGTGATGTAGCACAAGACACCCATAGTCCCGCTGTAGGCGCAAGCGTCCTATGGCTGTCGTCGTAAGGCCACAGTGACGGGCAAGTCCGTATCCGGCTGCCACAAACACATATATATATATATATATATATATATATATATATATAGGCAAACCACGAATTGGCATATAGCTATGCAATGTTATAAAAATGGACGGAAGTTACTGTATATAATTGTCATGAATAGGAACTGGACATCTTTTTTGTTTGGTTTTTGTACGCAATTTGTTTCCTTTTTGCCGTTATCATTAACGCTTGGATCTAAACAATAATGTACCCTGATCTTCCGCTCATTTTGCTTGCGCGCCATATTTTAAAGCGTTTCGAGCCATTGACATTCTTCGTTTTTGCGTCTTTAACCAAACAGACGTGTGTCTCTAATGGCGGCTCGACTTGTAGCCATCGATTTCATATGATATCGCCAATCGGTTTCGTATAACCAAATTCTTCACACGCATGCAGGATACGATGGCAAAAACACTCAGATGACATAAGCAAAACATGACCATGCTGCCTCAACTGATGCAATAAGATCCCAGCTTGCTAAATGAGATATTCGCATTGCCTAAGCTGAGATGTCTAGCTCATCGCTACAGAGACGTTGTTGCCATAACGCAGGAGCGATCCTCTTCATGCACCCATTGTCGAAGGCAGAAAACAAGCTTTTGTCATTCACACGAACTGGGCACGATTCACTACGAAACAGCAGCATCGCTTGAACGCGAAGGTATTGTAAATGCAGCTCTTTACGGAAACGGAGACCTTCCTACGACGCCAACGATGGCTCCGATTGAGGAACTCCATCCGAGTTTTAACCATGTGTAAAGAAACTTTATTTGCAATAATACCACTAGCAGACACACACAATAGCACAGTGGTGCTGCAGCTCCACGATGAGTTTTTAACGACTAAGTGCTGTATCATGTGTTACGGTTGCCGTGTTCCACTAGGAAGTCTTACTCTCCCACGTCCCATAGGTAATTCTAGCTAACATGTAGTTCTGCGTTACTCCCGTTCGTTTAATATTAAAGGACAAATTATGCATATCATGGCTAAAACACAATAAACCATCGAAATTATGAACCGCTTATTTATGACAACTGGCGCTAAACTTTTATATACTTTTATATTCGACCTATTCTAGAATACTGTACAATCACTTTTAGAAGCATCAGAAAATATGATAAACGGGCAATCGAAGCCACTCAGGAATCCTTTGCTAAAACACCTGTGGGTTGCGCATCTACCCTATCTTACAAACCTATATGTAACTTGATAAATTTCGAGCCATTGTGACTTCGAAGATTAAACATAAATAAATAAATAATAACTTGAATCCAAATTTTTTTATCGACAAACACACAATTTTTTACGAACCGGAATTCCAAGGACCTTCGCCATATAATCTGAGAAACTAGGATTATGTGCCAAAAGGACCCCGCTGTTGCGCACGACTCCGACGCAACTCCTTTATGCTTAGATATCCAGTGCTGCGAAATAGATTACCCCAAGCCATGGGAAGTTCAGGTTCCATTCGGTCTTTTATAAAGAGGGTAAACAACTACCCAACGCTGATAAACATCAAAGAATTGTTAGCCTTGATTTCGCGGATGAATGTGAACCTACTAATCCCTATGCATTCATCTTTTGCCCCCATCTTTCACCCGTCTTTCGGTAATGTTTGTTCTTCCACCTGCACTTCACGATCTTTTATCTCTTCGAAAAGTGCTCCTTCAAATTGGAGAAAGCATCGCCAAGTCACTTCACCGTTATCTTTTCCTGTGTGTGAAAAATAGGACATCATCCCTCCCTTCTTCCCTGAGTTCTACTCTTGCCAGAATGAGATATACTGCCATTTACAACATTTGCATTTGGCGTTACGTTATCGCTGTTTTATGGTCACCTGACTTCTGGCATAGTAGTCAGTGGTATTGGTTTCAAATAGACATAGATTGCCACCGTTCATCCGATCGCTGCATTCACGACTTTGCGTCGCATCGCTAGCAATCGCTGCTGCACAAATGATTATGAAGTTCATAATTGTAATTGCCTGAGGAGATTTATCGAAAAGAAATTTCTTCACAATTTCCTTTTGACATCAGAATGGGCATAACTTATGCATATGCCTTTACCCACTAATCAATCTCCTCCAACGGAACCTGTCTCATGTTATCACGAATTACATAATTATTGTTTAAAGTATTAGTGGTTTTGTGAGTATGTAATTTCTGTAGAAATTAGAAGCCAAGATTACAATTTGCACAGCAATCGGCCTCGATGGGGAATCGAACCCCGAACATACGGATTACCAACTGAGCTACCGGTAGCTCAGTTGGTAGAGCAGCGAACCGGTAATCCTTATGTCCGGGGTTCGATTCCCCGTCGAGGGCGATTGTTGTGCAAAGTTTACTCGTGGCTTCTACTTTCTACAATAACTTTTATCATCGTATAGTTTTACTCTTTTTTCATAGTTATCCATGACTTGGCATATCTCCTGAGGTGTCATAATGAAGCTTTTAAGTTAATCAACGTACTCGCACACGAGGTGATCTGCCCTCAAATCCTCTGGCGGCAAAAAACCGCTCGACTCCGAAGAATCAAATAGATCCAATGTCCGAAGTGGTCAACCTAACTGCTTATAAAATGACCCAACAAAAGTAACTGAGGCGGTAGTGATCTGTAAAAATTTAGGTCATACCGAAACGCCGCCAGATTGGGCTGAAGGGCCTATCTTAATCCCATACATATATGGTCTGAGAGATTAATCAAAGCGGTGATAGCGTGCATGCTTTTAATCTACACCGGTACAATTTCAGAGGGGCGTTTACTTTCGAGTGAAGCCATTAGGAGGAATGCCCCGCATGGAAGCAGGTTCCCAGGAGACCGTACTACTTCAATTGAGCCTTTAACTATTTCCTTTTTAAAATCACCTACGGCCCTTGAATTATTGTAAATGCCTATGTTCCTTCATGTGGTTGTAATTGTGTAACATGATAATACAGTGCTGATCACGTTGGAAGAGGCGTGTCTCCTGAAACCGAGAATGTGCATTCTTACTATTAACTATGGCTTACGTCATTTCGCGATATTTTGCTTCACCTGATATTTATGGTGGTTACGTCACGGCCGTAATAACTTTTCTAACTCTGCTTACCTCTTCCGAAATGTCGTACCGCTTACATTTGTGCGTTCTGGGGTTCAGAGGAAGACAAGCCGGTACGCCATAGCCACATCTCACTGCGACGCAACCACGGGCAACGCGTGGGCTAAGGATGTAACGAGGGTCGCTAACTCCCCATACGCAGGCTCGAATTGATGATCCCCCGGATTACAAGGCAGGCGTGTGATCCCTTCGGTCTCCGGCCAGCGTAAAGTCAGCCAGGAAGTGACAAACCGGTTGCACTGAGCAGTTTGCCACTGCACTCCCACCTTCTTGATTATCCACATAGAGATACCATTTTGAAAGTGTGTCAGGTTTATTCGTCTGTGTTTAGCTCCTATTTTTACCAGAGTTGTTAGCAGTGATTGGCGCATCTTTACATACTCTTTCCTTATTCAGCACTCTTTTTCTCCATCCTCACAGTCTGCTTGACTTCATTGATGGGCCCAATGGGTGCATGCGCTGCCGCAGTACCACTGCCAACATGTTGGACGATGTCAAACGGTACTTGATTCTCTTGAGAACAAACAGTACCGTGAGCATTAGTGCTGAAGACATCAGCTCATCTGCCAGTGCTGTCCGATCAGCTATTCCCACCAAAACTGTGCCCCAGTTGGCCTGTCCCACTCAATCACGGTCGGATCTGATGCACCGTATTCAATCTTTAATCACTACGAATACCGATAGTCTCTTCGATTTTCTCTGTGCATTGAACGCTGTGCAACTGCCAACAGCCAAGGAGTGTGGTCTGGAGCTATTCAGCTCTTCGCTTCCCGATTTGGAGTTCCACCAGGTGGTAGGTTTTATCCACATTATCTACTGCTTCCTTGATTTCTCTCTACTCATCTGCCTCTGTTGCTCTCATACAATTTGACTTGTGACTTTTTACCTCGTGAATGTCGTTCCACGTTTCCCTCCGTTAAGCTGTTTTCGCTATAATATTTTCTTCGACTCTTTTTGATTACCCTTGCGATTTTATTGGACGTAGTGCTGCATCAAACGTAAGGTTGCACCGTCGGCTGATGGTCGAACTGATTACGCGCTTGCGTTGTAACATGAAGGTCCTCTTTTCGAATCTGCGTAGGTTACCAACTGCAGCGGCCACTTCTTTCTCTGACGCACGATGAGACCACCAGATTTCACAGTTTCTCTTCAAGTTAGCACACAGTTTTGCCCTGAGGTCCTGTCTAGGTCTGGGCGCCCTGGCAGTATCCCAGCCCACATACAACCATGACAGTTTCTTCAAACATAAACTTCATCCTGCATCGGCCGTCGCACAGATTATCAAGGGTCGCCTTATCTGCTGCATACAGCAGTGCGGATAAGCGAAAACATGCTGCTGCTGGCGCCTCCCTTCTTTCTTTTCCACCTTTTTCTCTTACTCCCAACCCGGCCCCCATTACTAACATTCCTTCTATAATTCCCAGCTTAATTGACAGCAACCGAAGTGCTACTGGAGCAGAACCATCTACAGCCACCATACTACAGCACCTATCGGATACCTATCGGCAAAAGTCCCTTATAAGGCCACGCTGTCCCGTTTCCATGGCGACGTTCAACGTCCGCACTCTAAGACAAACAGGTCAGCAGGCTGCACTCGCACGCATCTCGGACAAACTGGGTGTTGATGTGTGTTGTGTGTCCGAAACTAGGATTAATGACCCTAATGGGGTTATTGAATTGACTGCATCCGGCTTATCCTCTCGTTTTATTGGTTGCACGCATCCGGAGACGCCGATGCGACACTCACAGGTCAAGCTGGTGTAGGTATCATTCTCAGCTCCAAGGCTGAGCCATCGTTGGTTGATTGTATTCCGGTGAACAGTCGTTTATGTGCAGCCCGTTTGACGACATCAGCTAAGGTGAATTCGCGAAGTAAAACGAAACGCTGTTTGTTTGTGATTTCTGCTTATGCTCCCACGGACTGCAGTTCTAATGCAGTCAAGGACACTTTCTATCACGAACTGAATGTCCTACTGCGCAGTGCTACTAGTTCAGATATTATAGTACTTGCAGGGGATATGAACGCACAAGTAGGGCGTCTGAGCACTTCAGAAGCTCAGCTGGGTGGTAATTACGGACTTAACTCCGAACGGACTGACAACGGCGACCGTCTGCTGCAACTGTGTGCAGAGCACCAGTTGTTTCTTAGTAGCACTGCTTTTAGACACAGTGGGCGCCGAAGTGCCACTTGGCCTTCTCCTGTAGCTGGCCAACGATGGACCCAAATTGACTACATAGCCATATGTTACAGGTGGCGCGGTTCCATTCTGGATTGCCGCTCGTACTGTAGTACCTTTGTCGACTCTGATCATGCCTTGGTGCGCTGTCGTTTCTCCATGAACTTTACCGGAAGGCGCACAAAACGTCTCCCCCGATTGGCAACTGAGAAATTGTCTCAGTCCTCAGTAAGGCAAGCCTATCAAGAAGCACTACATACTGAACTCTCGCTGTCTTGTCCTAATGACACTGAACTTCAGTGGAATAGGATCTCGGCCGCTATGCACGACGCAGGAGCGTCTGTTTGTGGCACTATCAGTCGTCACCGCACCAGTCACTGGATATCCGAGAGGACCGTGAACCTGTTGGAAGCTAGAAGTTACCTCCCGGCTGGCTCTGAACACAATGTGACCAGACGGGCTATTAGGCGTGAACTACGTGCTAACAAGGAAGCCTGGTGAACCAGTCGGGCTCAAGAAATGGGGGAGGCAGGAGCAGTAGGCAATTACCGCAAGCTCTTCCAGCTAATCCGCACCACTGGTCCCAGGAAACCAGGCGTCAATGAGACAGTAAGAGACAGCGCGGGTGCGCTGATACACAATAAGGAGCGCCGTATGGCTCGTTGGGCGGAACACTTTGAAGATCAGTTCAGCTGGCCCCCTGCTCCTGGACCTCTTCGTACTCAGGCGATGCAGGACGTGCCATGGACGGTTAGTTTAGAGCCTCCGTCGGAGGCCGAGGTCCGAAACGCTATCACAGCCCTCAATCGTTTTCGTGCCGCTGGCCCAGACTCCCTCACCCCTGCACTATTTTAGGATGGAGGTGAGGTCCTCTGCAGGGCACTGACCTCCCTATTCGAACGTATCTGGAACGAAGAGACTGTGCCGGCTAATTGGAGCGAATCGATTATAGTGGCAATATACAAGAAGGGTAGTCGCACAGACTGTGCGAACCACAGAGGTATTAGCCTAACGCCAGTTGTAACAAAATTACTGGCCTCGATTATCGTTCGTCGCCTCACTGCGGAACGGGAATCTCGGATTAGGGAAGAGCAGGCCGGTTTTCGCCCTGGCGTGCTAGAGCAGCGCCACGCATACCGCAGACCAATCTCGATTTCAAGAGTGCGTTCGATTCAGTCGATCGATCGATTCCGTTCGAATTACTTGCGCGAAAAGGTGTTCCCACGAAATATGTGAACATCCTTCGGGCTCTATACTCGAACGCTACAGGCCGCGTCAGGATGTACGGTGCCCTATCGGATAGCTTACCGACCACAAGTGGCGTTCGACAGGGTTGTCGATTTCCCCGTTTTTGTTCACTTTCGTCGTGGATTCTATCATGGAGTGTTCCCTTGCGGAATCTCACAATGTAGGCGTTGAAGTGCTGCCTGGTGAAAGGTTAGTTGATCTGGATTATGCGGACGATATCGTCTTGCTTTTCGACAATGTTGAGGCGGCACAATCAACCCTGAGTAACCTATGCAGAGTGGTCCCATTATTTGGTATGCACTTCGCACCTTCAAAGTGCAAAGTGTTGCTGCAGGACCACCATCCACTTGATGACCCCTTGACGCTTGCTAACGAGGAACTCGAGGTGGTTGATCATTTCACTTATCTTTGCAGCTGCATCAGCAATGATGGGCGCATAGAAACTGACGTCAGCTCACGCATTGCAAAGGCCAGAGCTGCCTTCTTGAACCTGCGTCATCTTTGGCGACAGAAGGGAGTTTCCCTCCGTCTGAAAGTCCGGGTATACAAGGCCACAGTGAGGGCCGTTCTGCTGAATGGTAGTGAGACTTGGCCCCTTCGGTCTTAAGATCTGAGACGCCTTCAAGTCTTTGATCATCGTCGTTTGCGAAGCATTGCTGGTGTCGGATGGCACTAGCGTTTCCGTAACGATGATGTGCGTCGGCGAGTACTAGGCGATGATAATCATGCTAGCTCCCTAGAACAACAGATAGCACTGAATAAGTTGCGTTGGCTCGGGCACGTGCTACGCATGCCTGGTCACCGCTTACCTAGGAGGGCCTTGTTTAGTTTGTCAGGTGTAGGATGGCGCAAGGCTCGAGGTGGACAGAAGTTGACTTGGCAGCGGGAAATGAAGTCACTGACGACCAAACTGGGTGCCGTTGGTCCGTCTCGCCTTTGTGGTTGGAGTCCACGTGACTCACCTGGTGCTTGGCTCGAGACTTTACAGGACATGGCTCGCAACCGACACCAGTGGCGCGTCTGCTGCCGTCTCCTAATCGGATTGTCTGTTTAAAGTGTGTTTGGTGCTGAGTTATCTGCGGGGTAATGGCTGATTATGACGCGTGGCAGTGAAAGCCGCAAGGAAGCTGTCTCGCCGATGCCGCCTTATCTTTGCACGATGGCCAGCTGTTTGTGACGTTATGTTGTTAACATAAGATGTAGGCGCCTTGACCCTGAATGTTTGCTTAGGACATTAACTTTTTTAGGTAACTCCCCCTTCTCTCCCTCTTCTTATTCTTCATTCCATAGGTTCTCATGGTTGTATGGCAGGGAAGCATCAGTTCAAATGGCTGATGTACTGCTGTCGATGATGATGATGATGATGATTTGCCCTGAGATCTTTGTGAGTTTCATTATTTTCCCCCGGGGAGTGCCGGCGAGCATCGATAAGTTTCGGCGACTGCCAATAGACACATTGTCGATGTTGGATCTTAGATGTACCACGTAAGGGTTTGGCTGCTACTAATAAGGTCTGGTGGACGTGCGACTAGTGACCTTCAGCTGTATTCCGTAAGCACTGGCTCAACCCAAATGCCAGCGTACTTCTACACGCATTTCGAACATCTGACTACGTCAGTTGACTGGTGGCAATGCGCTCACAGCATCGTCGTGGGCGTCCACCGAAACGCATGTGCTCCAAATCGAGTGACCTTTTGGACGCAGCCCCTCCAGCGGTAACTGATTCCAATGTGATCGATTTGCGTTCATGATTGCTCTGTGGCTGGTGGACACTATGTCACTCTCCGGTGGGTGTTATGTCGTAAGTTGGTGCTCACAAGAACAAAGTGAGCTTCTTCACACACACATAAAGTAATCGCTCGCCGTTCTTTATTTCTTTTTCATTTATTTATCGTTACGGGAGCCTACACCATGTTGACCACCAAGATGCAGCTCATCAATGGACTTTCAGATCCCCAGTCAGCTTCTTCTTTGATGGAGATCGTACAATTGGTGCAGAAGTCGTCTTTCCCCGAATCATCGTTACATTTGTGGGGACGTCGGCAGCGCGACTTCGACGCCTTGGACGAACCAGTCAGTCGGGTGACACACATCTGACTAATGATTAGAATCCAATCATCCAGAGCAGGTCCAGCCCGCAAGTTGATGACTTTGCCGACATCGACTTGGCCGGCACTCGAAGATGCATCATATCCGGATAGGCTCACTGTAAAAGCACTGTTAGTATCACCTGAAGGGTATCACAAACAGAGCGGGCGGGTTCCCCATAATCACTAGATATCATTAGGGAGTGTCTCTAATGTTCGAACCAGTGATGCTTGTTGACCGATCTTTAACTGTGCGCGTACCTTGAGGCAGGATTGAGGTAGGATCGAGGACTATGAGTAGAACCGATATACTTTACCTATCCGCTTGCTTGGATATGGACCTGTCGATATGGCAGGAGTGACGCTCCGCGTTCGCATGTGAGTTGAGACTAGATGATAAACACCTATCAATGCAAGATGGGAGAGAGCCACGAATTGAGGGGTTGAAGATGGAACTATGTTGGAGAAGCGTAATGGAGAAACTAAGAAGACGTGAAATTCGGCGAAGTAGCATCCAAACCGCAATACACCCTTCTCGATGCATCGAGTAGAGCGCCGTTGATTATTCTCTGCGACTGTCAGAGTATGAAGAAATGGTTTGATGATAAAGTCGTTGTTTTGTGTGGACTGGACACTGCCAGGTTTCTCAAGCCTAGACAGGAGAACGATTAGCGTTCTCAAGCAAAACATTTGGTCCAAAAACCTGATCACAATATGGCAGATTCGGGTGTTGGCAACAAGGAGTCCGTTTTAAGGAATAAGGAGTCACTCTTACCCCAACTTGGAAGACCAGGAGACTAAGTTTGTCAGACCTCTAATCATTGACCAGTCTGATATGAGTAGCTCTGAAGTTACGAAAAGCACTTTCACTACACATAGCTCAGTGGATCACTGAAACACACAAGCCATCGCACCAGAGATTATGGCTAGCGTCTTTTTGATACGGGAGACAGACAGCAAAAGACCTGGCGTTACTGAAACTACATGTTGGGCTGCACACTTTGAAAGTCAGTCTAATCTTCCAGAATTGTTAGATTTCTCACTTGCCAGAGATCGCCGTGCTCCTTTCGGTCCACCCTGTTGTTCAAAAGTCGAAGGCTATAACGGACTGCTGAACTTGATTAAGGCCGCGGCACCAAGTGATCTTTCTCCATCACACTTTAAATTTGGTGCCTTGCTCTTGTTGACGATTTACACGAGTTACTATTGAAGCTGTGGGGGCAGGAAACTGTCGCAACCGACTGGAGCCGCTCCGTTATTCTTCCAATTTTCCAAGAGGCTCACGTTTGGAATTCGACAACCATAGAGGAATCAGTCTGGTCTCCATTGCTTCTCCCACCACAGATTAACTGACACTCGTGAAAGTCAGATTCGTGAAGAGCAAGCCGGGTTCGATTGAGATCGGGCTTCATTGATCACATCCTTAGTTGGCGCCTTTAGTTGGAGCACCGTCGTATCTAGTGGTGGCCCACCGTAGGTGTACTCCTCGACATTACTAGTACCTTCGATTCGGATGTGTTTGTCTACTCAAAAAAGGTGTGCCCGAGAAATATGTAAATATTATCCCAGCGCTCTACACGCGTGGTTCGCGCAGATCGAGGGCTTACGGCAGGCTGTCGCCACCCTTCACTATCTCCAGCGGTGTAGAATAAGGATACCCGTTGTCACCTTTCCTTTTCAACTTAATCACAGACAATGTCATAGGGATCGCGTTCATTGGACACGATTTACAAGGTGTGGATCTGCTTCTAGATGAACGACTTCTTGACCTGGAGTATGCTAATGACATTAACGTCATCTATGACTGTTCCCAAACATGTCAAACAGCATTAGACAGCTTAGCACTGGCTATCAGCCGTTGAATACACCAACCAAATTTAGCAACCTCGATTGAAGTGTGACCTAGCGGCACTAGCGATGCCACTACGAAGGGCAAAGGATGGACATCAAGGGCTTGCGCGGTCACTTTGTAGCGAAGGTTGAAGTTGCTGGGAGTTATCATCGGACTTTACGGAAGGCTGCGGAGCGATATCATTTTGGTTCACCAAATATTGAATGACCCCAACCACGTATGCCATCATTTGTTGTAACTTGACCACAACACCAAGCTCAGAGGTAACTAGTTGAAACTAAGTAAGCAATACAGCCGTCTACAATGTCGACAGAATTACTTTTCCCTTCGCGTTTGCAAACCCTTGAATTCTCCCAAACTCACTTGTATCCTCCCTACCTTGGGCATTTTCAAAAGAAAACGATTGGATGTTGCTCTTAGCTCCCAACACTTCGTTACATACACTGCGCTACTGTGGATCACATTAATAATAATAATAATAATAATAATAATAATAATAATAATAATAATAATAATAATAATAATAATAATAACAGTAATAATAATATACGTATATTTCTCTTGATGAGAGAAACTGTGTCTATCACGGCACAGATCAATTTGTACAGAAGAATCCATAATCTTGCATGGGTGACATGCATAGGTGGAGTATTGGGATATGCGTTTCATGTGTTAACATACTGGTGGATGGTTGAGACCAAAGCCTAGATATGAAAACATTGGTTTATGTGTTTTTGGACCCCTCTTAGATTAGCTCATCAAGGGATTTTTCCCATGTGAATATCGAGCTAAGGATAGTTAGGTCAAGGTAATAGGCGAGTCTGCTTCTAAATGTTGCCACATTGTCATTGGTAGGTAATTTCACAGGTGGTTATATCTGACCAAGAAGAAATTAGAGCGGACCTTCCTTCTAGCCTTCGTTATATTCAGCGTGAAATCTTTGTTGCGAAGCGCTCGAGTTGAGCAGTGTTGTAAATTGAGTGTGGGCAGGTTGGAATAGGTCTTTTTATTTGTAAGTAGTAGGGGATTTATATGGTTTTCGTGTAGGTTCGTCGCAGTTAGATACAGGCAGACAGCCACCACACATCCAGGACAGTGCTAGACGTCCGCTTCGTCCTATTGGGACTCATCAGTAGCGCGCACCCGCCGAATCCTGTTGGATTCCAACCCACGAACTTACTCTTGCGAGTCAGCGACTTATATCACTGAGCCATGGGCGACGCTATGACTAATATGTAACTGCGATATAGCGCGACTCATCCTCCACTGTCTTGCATGTTATGAATGTGCAGAGGAATTCGTTGCTCTTGGGCCAGCCCTGTCCTCTGCACATTTATAACATGCAAGACGTTGGAGGATGAGCCGCGCTATATCGCAGTTAGATATCAGTCATGGCGGTCCGCTGCCGTCGCCCATGGCTCAGTACATAAATCGCTGACTCGCAAGAGTAAGGTCGTGGGTTCGAATTCGGCAGGATTCGGTGAGTGCGCGCTACTGACGAGTCCCAATAGGACGAAGCGGACGTCTAGCACTGTCCTGGATGTGTGGTGGCTGTCTGCCTGTGTCTAACTGCGATGAACCTACACGAAAATAGGTCTTTTTGTATTACATGTTGAAAAGCAGCAACAACTTGTGCTTGAATCGTCGGGGTTTGTGTGTCACACGGATCCCACAGAGACAGCGCATGATTGAGTGATCATGTTTCACTTTTCTCACGAGTTACCTCAACTATCGCTGCACTCGGCGTACTTCGTTATGGTTTGTATTCGATTTTTATTTTACCTAAACGTTATGTATCAACGCGTATATCTCGGTAGACACCCGCTACGTGACTGACGTACCTATTGATTTCATTCTCTTCTCCCAGGCATCATCCGTGACGTGTCAAACATCTGCTGTTATCTCGTGATAAATCATTGTTCAACGCTGGTTGTAGGCCACATCCTCATAAAGTCTCGGGCTGGGTTAATCGTTTGGACCTGAGAATGCAATGTGGCACAGGCCGGTTTTGTCCTCGAACTCGTCGTCGTCATTTCCGCGTTATCTTACCTTTGACGCAACCTGCTATGACAATAGTACTGCAGCTCTGTTGGCCTGTATTTTTGAAATATGACCCGATGGTCACAAATTCAGGGATTTTCGTTGTCAGGCGTTGATATGGAATACCGAATTACTTCCTGTTCATTTCAAAGTCACATGATCATGTCGGTTGAGACTTTGTTATCAAACCTTGGATGATAGCACTAAAGGTCAGCCTCCCGCGAGTGTCTCCATCGGAAGTTTATTCCGACTCGGCAGATCTTTCGACGCATGACTGCTTGTTTTACTGATAAAGACGTGGAAGTGTGAACGAACTTAATCTAAGCCCGGTCTATGTATATATTGTCGGCCGGTGGCCGAGTAGTCTGCACCCCTAACTTGCAATCATAAGGTCAGCGGTTTGAATCCGCGTAGGGGCGAGCGTCCTCGCGGTATACTCAGTTCACGCGCGACTGATGGTGGTCGCGCAGCAGCGAAGCGCCGTTACGGCGTACAGCCGACACACTATGTGTATATCACACATCCACGGCTAATTACTCGCCTTGTTTCATTGGCAGCTCAGTGTTTCCGTTTCCACTACAAGTCACGCTATGGAATCCGCTAACGTGCATCACCTCTTTTATGTTGTTTTATCTCTCATTAGCAAATTCAGTAGTAGTAGTAGTAGTAGTAGTAGTAGTAGTAGTAGTAGTAGTAGTAGTAGTAGTAGTAGTAGTAGTAGTAGTAGTAGTAGTAGTAGTAGTAGTAGTAGTAGTAGTAGTAGTAGTAGTAGTAGTAGTAGTAGTAGTAGTAGTAGTAGTAGTAGTAGTAGTAGTAGTAGTAGTAGTAGTAGTAGTAGTAGTAGTAGTAGTAGTAGTAGTAGTAGTAGTAGTAGTAGTAGTAGTAGTAGTAGTAGTAGTAGTAGTAGTAGTAGTAGTAGTAGTAGTAGTAGTAGTAGTAGTAGTAGTAGTAGTAGTAGTAGTAGTAGTAGTAGTAGTAGTAGTAGTAGTAGTAGTAGTAGTAGTAGTAGTAGTAGTAGTAGTAGTAGTAGTAGTAGTAGTAGTAGTAGTAGTAGTAGTAGTAGTAGTAGTAGTAGTAGTAGTAGTAGTAGTAGTAGTAGTAGTAGTAGTAGTAGTAGTAGTAGTAGTAGTAGTAGTAGTAGTAGTAGTAGTAGTAGTAGTAGTAGTAGTAGTAGTAGTAGTAGTAGTAGTAGTAGTAGTAGTAGTAGTAGTAGTAGTAGTAGTAGTAGTAGTAGTAGTTGTTGTTGTTGTTGTTGTTGTTGTTGTTGTTGTTGTTGTTGTTGTTGTTGTTGTAGGTAGTTGTGTACACGAGCCACTCCGTTGGTCTTTGTTTAAGGCGGCATTGACCCAGTGGGAATAGAAGTCATTCCGTGTTACCCAAGCGGAAGAATGCGAGATCTCAGCAATGATCAAACAGCGAACTGCAAAACTGTCTGTCAAAATCACTCTAGATGTGAACGAGAACATCATGCTGCGAAGGTGTCTCGGGCCAACTCCACTGTGTGTGTGTGTGTGTGCAGTCATGATGCCATTAATATAACGAAGGAAAGGTTGATAATTACAACAACTGTGGTCTAGTGAAAGATTACCAGAACGTGAAATGGTCTGTGTGTGATCCGTGGTTTGGAAGGTAACTAGAAGTAAGTTGTGAACGGATTAATTTATCCGAGGATTGCGGCTATCCTCTTACCAGCCTTTATGTTCACATACTTATCAACTGTTTCCTACATATTGGTGGTGACCTGATCTTGCATTTATGGCAGCGTGACCCATCTCCCCCTCTGCACCTCACATTTGGTGGCCTCCGTTTTGCCACTGAACCCCAGTTGATTCAGCCACTGTATATTTTTCAGTTTTTCATGAGTTACTTTTTGCTTTTCCCTTGGTTTTTTATATTCCCACCGGCGTTTCTTAACCACGAGTCTGGAGTTTCCTAGCTGTGGCTCCTGTATCCTGACCTTGTTTGCGCTTGCGCTCCTTGCTAAGCCAAAGGTGCTGATGCGATCTGTCATTTTCTTTGGTGTACAGGTCGATTTTGTCACGATGACCGGCACGCTCAACATGAGTGTTCCGCACCGTCAATCTCCCAGTTCAGCTTTTTCATCTATAAGGTAATAAGTTTTATATGTATTTCAGTAGTCCATTGGTCAACTTTAGACCTTGATCTACATCCATTGTAGGTTGCCTCCGGGAACCATCTTTCTGACACGTTGCCCAAAGGTTTCCCAGTGGATTCAGGAAATGTCGACTTCTCACCAATTGAATACAACCTTAGTGAAGAAGAGGCCGATGTTCATGAGAAGCGCCCACTTTTTTTCACTGGTTCGGACGCAGAGGATGAATGGAGCTCGACTCATTGAGTCGCAAACCAAGTCACGGAACGTTTCCGTCGTCGTCGCCGTCGTTCCGCTAATCTATCCGCTGTATCCCACTAGTTTTTGGGCATTTTCACTTATGCGCTTAACAATCAAGTTCTCAGTGCCTTTCCTCTTTAGATTATTTTGGTTTGAGATTGTTCTCACATCATCTATTGACATCATAACTTTTAAATCTTCTCCATCCGAGCGGCTGTGCCATGTGTAATTTACAGCAGTTGCTTTCATATATTTTGGATTTCTTTAGAGAAACATCTATTTCAGATTCCATTTCTCCAACCACTCTACTTCATAATTATACACTGCGCCTTTGCTTTGATCACCCGTTCTTTTTCACTGGTTCGGTGTCACCTAACTTCTGTCACAATCATATTTGGCAATACATTTTTTATTTTCATTCTTACATTCTGTCTTGTAACCCATTCTGAGAGTTAAAAACAAAGATTTGGTTGTGATCAGAATATATTATGGTCAGAAATCAGCATCTTATTTATAGGGCAATATATGCTCCGTCGCTTTGATCTTCTTGATTAGCTTAGGGCTGTGACGAAGCTTGACATATTTATCGATCGAGCCAATTGATAGTACGGGCTTGCAAGACAATTGTCGCTCACGTGTGCAAGCATTGTTGCTCAGCTCGCGGTGAACAGTTGATCAAGAACGGCTTATTGCCTGTATCCCACATCTGCCTTTCTCAGTTTGAGCTCATTTGGTGTCGAAATTTTGCTCGTGTCCTCTTTCCGTCTTCTCCCTCTCCTCTGCTTTCGTACTAGTCTTGTTGTGCTCTTCAGGTTGGAGCCGGATTTTGGCCGCGGACAACACATTTCTCGTTCTGCGGTCAGATAAATGTTGAACAGCGTTCAATCTGATTTATCGGAGACGAAGTGTTTTTTTCATTCCAGGAGCATGAGATATGGATCCTCGTTCAGCTCTTTTACTTTGGTTTGTATTTTATTTACCTCTGCCTCCAACCTTCCATTCGACTGGCTGTGCTAAGTGCCAATGTAGTGATGATCGAATTCTCGATTCCCACTGAAAGTTCGGAACTCCAGTAGCTGTAAACTGCGGTCCCGTTGCCTGATACTACTATTCCGCAGGGATTCCGTGTCGAGTGGAATAACCTCGCGGGTTGTTTACCACCAAATGAACAATGGTCGATGGGGTTTCATCAATCTCAAAATAGTCACCGAAATAGTCTATCATGATTAGACAATCCTTTCCGTCGTTTGTAAACAGGTCAACTGCCAGCTTCTATCATAGCCTTTTCGTTACCTCTCGTAACGCCACTGGTTACTCCGTCTGTCCAACATCTGCGTGGCAGGTTAAGCAGTTCGATACATAGTCCCGAATCTGGCTAGCTATTCCAGACCAAAACATCAGCTCTCTGGCTCATGCAACGCAATTATTCACTCCCAAGTGTGCACCATAAGTCTTCTGTAGCGTGCTGCGTTGCATTGCCTTTGTGACTAACATATGATGTCTGTTTATATATATATATATATATATATATATATATATATATATATATATATATATATATATATATATATAAAGGTTTGCATTCGCGGCACTAAACGGTCAATGGGTCTATGCGTACATTGTGATCTACGAAGCGATGGTGCTTCTGACGATTATACAGCATCCTGGCGGGTTGCTTCCGTTTCCGGCTGTACTGAGTTTGACTCACTCACATGTTCCGCTGCTGTTGTCCAAACACAACAAGGGTGGATGTAATCTAAGTGTCACCCTACTACCCGACCATTTAATTTGAGCTTTGGCTGGGTACTGTCACCTATAATTACAGTTGCGGGTTGCCAGCAGTGCTGATGGGGAAGTCGTGTGTATACGGGATCGCCCAGCTGCCAACTAGAGTCCTGGTGATCTTGTGATGCGGCCGCCTTGTCTTGCTTTCTTACCATTTGTGCTCGATGATGTGGAAACAGAAAATTCAGTCTGGTATGGAGCGTCCGGCCAAACAACATCTCTGCAGGTGATTTACCGCTGGCTTCCGTTGGCGTTATCTTGTAAGCAAACAGCAAACCATCTAATCTCATCTGAATAGTTCCTGGTTCTTGTTTCAAGTGATCTCTTTTAATTGTCTGCAGCACCTGTTCCGCTGGCCCATTAGAAGCAAGATGACATGGGGCTGTACGGACATTATGCACACCATTGATATTCCTGCATATCTCAAATTCTTTGCTAATGAAACACGACCCATTGTCTGTGCAGTGTCTCTCGTATCCCAAATATGGCAAATGACGAGCGCATTTTTGGGATTGTTGTTTCCGTGGTAGAGTGGGACACAGGGTAAACCTCTATCCATTTGGAATGAGCGTCAGTTAGCATCGGGAAAATCAAACCACTAATGGATCCAAAATAGACTGCATGGAGGCGCTGCCATGGCTTTTCAGGTCAGCGCCATGGGTGTACCGGACCGGGAGGTTTATTTGACTGATACTGCTGACACAGACCACATGTGTTTAGATAGTTTTCTGTTTCTGAATCTAGGCCATATCTAGAGCAATAACCCCGCGCCAAGGCTCTCATTCGGGCCAGGCTTGGATCTGCGTTGCGGAGGTTGCTTAAAATGTACGGGAGTGCCTTTGGCGGTGGAATCAGCCAGGCTCCCAAAAACAAGCATCCATCGTGAAGGCTCTATTCGTTTTCCGTTGTCCTTAAGGCGTATGATCGACGGGACTGTAGTAAGCCGGCCGGTTTTTATAAATCGTACTACAGAAGAGAAGGTTTGGTCACGATCGGTCTGTAGCGCCCAAAAGGTAATTACTCCCATTTATGTACAATTTCATTGCTGACAGATTGTACATTATTCTTTCTTGATTTAATCTTCCTAACATGCGGCTCGTCACTCGACTGCCCTGTAAGTGGTCGCGCTAACGTGTTGCTCCTGTCTCGCTGCATCCCTACACGTCTTTTGCAAGCCATCGAATAGAGTCCGCTGTGTCCGACTTTAACTACTTTTTTTATATCTGCGCTAGATCAAGTGCATCGCCTTGAACTAGTACTTACTATTCTTACAGGTCCACTGACCTATGGTGTCTCATGTCAATGGAGTGATGCCGTGGTGTTACATTCGATGCAATAGCTCCACTGCTCCCTCCAGTATTTCGTCTAGGGTCGCATGTGGTAATCTGCTTAATGCATCCGTTGTATGATTGTTCAAGCCAGGAATATGGTAGAGTCGATATTCAGGCACTTAATATTAATGAGATGAGAAGACGAATATTGGCAGTATTCGTCTTCTCATTTCGTTGTTCAAACTACTGAAGGGGACTAAGTGTTTTAATATTAATGCACTACTTTACATTCCCCGGGAAAATATCTGCTCGATTCCATTTGAATTGCTCAGCAAAGGCATCAGTAGTTTGTGGTCTGTATGTTGTTCGAAATAGTTGTCCCAGATGTACTAACAAAACTTCTTGACGCCAAATATAACGGCTAAAGCTTCTTTACCTAATTGGGAATAATTATTTTCGACAGGTTTTAAAGTTTTTGAGGCAAAAACAATCGAGTGAATGACACCATTCGACATTTTCTGACATGGAACAGCTTCAACTCCGTATGGAAGAGCGTCTTGCTGTATGCTTAACGGCTATTCGGTATCTTAGTGGACCATAACTGGTACGGGTGAAAGACACATCTTTGCATAAGCACAATGAAATTAATGCTCACTCTTTCACATCTACAGAGTGTTTTTGTGTAGCAGTTCATTCAAAAGAGCAATAATGGTTGTGGCATCCGCTAGCAATGGCCGTAACTACTCACTTTTTTATCGTACAGGATATGCAAACCGGTTCTGTCCAGTTTGTAACAAAGGTAACAAACAGTCTCGGATAAGAACTCACATTTGGACTTTTTTAATTTCGACTCACACTCTTTCAGACGCTCGAGGACAGTTCGCAATATGTTTAGATGGTCCGCGTCACTACGGCCAGTGACAAGGATATCGTCCATGTGTGCGCAGGTGAACGGTATTTCTTTATCATCTACGCTGCGTTGGACAATGCTGGGTGCTTACTCGATTCCAAACGGGAGGCGTGTGAACTGGGATAGTCCCACCTGGGTAGTGAATGTGGTCAGTTACTGTGACTCATCATCAAGTATGACTTGAGAGTATGCGTGACTGAGATGCAGTTTGAAAACATTTGGTCACCGGTCAAAGTCGCGTACAAGTCTTGTATGCGTGGTAGGGGACATTTTTTCACTTTCAATGCCTGGTTGACTGTCAATTTGCAGTCTCCGCAAATACGGACAGAGTCGTCGACTTTGAATGTTGCATCAGAACTATGACTCCTTCTAATTGAAGACGTTGAATTGCTGTCTGAACTTTAGGGCTCATTGCATAGGCTAATGATCTGACCTTGTAAAAATTTGACTCCTCACCCTCCCGGAAATCGATAGAAGCCTTGAAATGTTGTATTTTCCAAAAAGGTTTTCAAACAACGTTAAGCGCTAGTTTAATAAGTCATTTAAACTACCGTCTTCAAGAAGGAGTTTGTTGAATTGCATGGCCTCGGGGAAGTACTGTAACAAATCTCGATCCATAAGATTCGGTTTGTTCCCGGATACATCGACTAAGGGTAGTGTGAATTCTCGCTCCCTGTGTCTGGCCTTAACAAAACATCCACCCAACATCTGAATTGTGTCACCAGTGTGCTTCTGTAATCCCGAGTTGCACGATTACTAAGGTGGTAGATTTTCATTGAAACGCGGTTTACAAAGTTCACCGCCGCTACAGTATCTAGCCCCATGTCTATCGGTTCATCCTGAGAGTGAGAGTGCCGCAAACCGCAACGATGACATAAGAATTGTTTTCGGTGTTCACTGATGTCTGGTTTACGAACCGCGTGCACATCAGCAACTGACCTTGAGAGGACTTGCATGGTAATCGCTCACTTGTGCAGTCGTGGCTTTTAACTGCGGTTCAGCGACATTTTGTCGCACACCTTTGGATCTATACTTATTCGTCGTGCTTTTACAAGCTCTAATTTTGATACCAAGTTCTCGAGTATACTACAGTGCATCCTACATTTACCCTGAATTCTAAATTCCAGACAGAGTTTCGCCGATATCCAAGCGCCAATAGTTCC